ATAACTGCATTCAAAAATAAAACAATGTAAAACTTTAGCGCCTACAAGTCCACTCAGTCCTATTTCAGCCAATCGCTCAGACAAACAAGTTTGGTTACAATTTGCAGGAGATAATGCTGCCTGCTTCTTGTTTACAATGTCACCTGAAAGTGAGAACAGGTGTTCGCAGGGCACTGTTGTAGCCAGCGTCGCAAGATGTTTATGTGCCAGATGCTTTAAAGATTTAAATGTCCCTTCATGCTTCAACCACCATTCCAGGGGACATGTGTCCATGCTGATGACATGGTCTGCTCAATAATGATCCAAAGCAGAGCAGACGGATGCATGTTCATTTTCATCATCTGAGTCAGATGCCACCAGCAAAAGGTTGATTTTCTTTTTTGGTGCTTTGGGTTCTGTCGTTTCTGCATCTGAGTGTTGCTCTTTCAAGAATTCTGAAAGCATGCTCTACACCTTGTCCCTCTCAGATTTTGGAAGGCACTTCAGATTCTTAAACCTTAGGTTGAGTGCTATATCTTTTTTTAGAAATCTCACATTGGTACCTTTCCTTGGGTTTTGTCAAATCTGTTGTGAAAGTGTTCTTAAAACAAACATGTGCTGGGTCATCATCCAAGACTGCTATAACATGAAATATATGGCAGAATGTGGGTAAAAAAGAACAGGAGACATACAGTTCTCCCCCAAGGAGTTCAGTCACAAATTTAATTAATGCATTATTTTTTTAATGAGCATCATCATCCTGGAAGCACGTCCTCTGGAATGATGGCCAAAGCATGAAGGGGCATATGAATATTTAGCATATCTAGCATGTAAATACTTGCAACAATGGCTACAAAAGTGCCATACGAGTGTGTGTTCTCACTTTCAGGCGATATTGTAAATAAGAATCAGGCAGCAGTATCTCCCGTAAATGTAAACAAACTTGATCGTCTCAGTGATTGGCTGAAAAAGAAGTAGGACTGAGTGGACTTGTAGGATCTACATTTTTACATTGTTTTGTTTCTGAGTGCACTTATATCACAAGAAAACTACATTTGTAAGTTACACTTTCACTATAAAGAGATTGCACTACAGTACTTGTATGAGGTGAATTGAAAAATACTATTTCTTTTGTTTATCATGTTTACGGTGCAAATATTTGTAATAAAAAATAATAATATAAAGTGAGCACTGTACACTTTGTATTCTGTGTTGTAACAGAAATCAATATATTTGAAAATGTAGAAAAACATCCAAAATTTTTAATAAATTTCAACTGGTATTCTATTGTTTAACAGTGCGATTAATCACAATTAATTTTTTTTAGTTAATTGTGTGAGTTAACTGCGATTAATCGACAGCCCTAATAGCAACACAAAACTAAGGCCAGGATTGCAAAAGATAAAAATAAAAAAATAATGAAGTTAAGGAACCTGAGCCTATTTACGGTTTCTAATGTAAGCACACAATGTACAAGCTCTTACAAGACAGTCCTACAGAATTTAATAGGAAAATATACCTGCTATATAATTTCATACAATGGCTGGGAGAATCTATGGAAAGGATTCTCACTCTCTATTAAATTATATAAGTCTGCAAGAATAACTCTCATAAAACCCTATTGGTTTCTCCCCATTACATTTCATAGGATTGTTCCATAAGATGCTGGTTTTTGACTAAAATCAGCTGAAATTTGTTTTGTGTGTTGGGTTCCATGAGACTGAGGCTCAAAATGAAACTGTGGGGGCTCTGAGCCCAAAGTAAGGCTCCAGTTTTTCATTGGTACCTGCACCTGTGCAGATCGCCAGTGACATCAATAGGACTCCATACAGGCACAGCTGATCCCAGTGCAGGACTGTTGTTTAAATCTCTTGAGTTTTGCACATGTATTATCATGTCAACGAAAATAACTGACCAACCTGATTCCCTTCTGTGATGAGATAACTGGTTCTGTGGATATGGGGAAAGCGGTATATATCTTGACTTCAGCAAAGCTTTTGATACGGTCTCCCACAGTATTCTTGCCAGCAAGTTAAAAAAGTATGGATTGAATGAATGGACTATAAGGTAGATAGAAAGCTGGCTAGATTGTCGGGCTCCACGGGTAGTGATCAATGGCTCGATGTCTAGTTGGCAGCCGGTATCAAGCGGAGTGCCCCAGGGTTCGGTCCTGGGGCTGGTTTTGATCAACATCTTTATTAATGATCTGGATGATGGGATGAATTGCACCCTCAGCAAGTTCGCAGATGACACTTAGGGCTGGTCTACACTAGGGGGGAGGATCGATCCAAGATACGCAACTTCAGCTACGCGAATAGTGTAGCTGAAGTCGAAGTATCTTGGATCGAATTACCTGGGGTCCAGACGGCGCGGGATCGATGGCCGCGGCTCCCCCGTCAACTGCGCTACCGCCGCTCGCTCTGGTGGAGTTCCGGAGTCGACGGTGAGCGCGTTCGGGGATCAATATATCACGTCTTAACGAGACGCGATATATCGATTCCGGATAAATTGATTGCTACCCGCTGATACAGCGGGTAGTGAAGACGTACCCTAAGCTGGGGGGAGAGGTAGATATGCTGGAGGGTAGGGATAGGGCCCAAAGTGACGTAGACAAATTGGAAGATTGGGCCAAAAGAAATCCGATGAGGTTCAACAAGGACAAGTGCAGAGTCCTGCACTTAGGAAGGAAGAATCCCATGCACCGCTACAGGCCGGGGACCAACTGGCTAGGCGGCAGTTCTGCAGAAAAGGACCTGAGGATTACAGTGGACGAGAAGCTGGATATGAGTCAGCAGTATGCTCTTGTTGCCAAGAAGGTTAATGGCATATTGGGCTGTATTAGTAAGAGCATTGCCAGCAGATCAAGGGAAATGATTATTCCTCTCTATTTGGCACAGGTGAGGCCACACCTGAAGTATTGCGCCCAGTTTTGGTCCCCCCATTACAGAAGGAATGTGGACAAATTGGAGAGAGTCCAGCGGAAGGCAACAAAAATGATTAGGGGGCTGGGGCACATGACTTACGAGGAGAGGCTGAGGGAACTGGGGTTATTTAGTCTGCAGAAGAGAAGAATGAGGGGGGATTAGATAGCAGCCTTCAACTACCTGAAGGGGGGTTCCAAAGAGGATGGAGCTAGGCTGTTCTCAGTAGTGGCAGGTGACAGAACAAGAAGCAATGGTCTCAAGTTGCCGTGGGAGAGGTCTAGGTTGGATATTAGGAAACACTATTTCACTAGGAAGAGTGATGAAGCACTGCAATGGGTTACCTAGGGAGGTGGTGGAATCTCCATCCTTAGAGGTTTTTAAGGCCCGGTTTGACAAAGCCCTGGCTGGGATGATTTAGTTGGTGTTGGTCTTGCTTTGAGCAGGGGATTGGACTAGATGACCTCCTGAGGTCTCTTCCAACCCTAATATTCTCTGATTCTATGATTCTAACTGAGTCTGTGTTGTGAAAGCTTGTGTATGGCTGTACAATGCTCAATTTGTCATGATTCTGCAGCACAAAAGCCCATTTTATATTGAGAGAGAGAGAGAATTGGCTTATTTGAATTAATAAAACCTATATAATCCAGCATGTTATATTGTATTACATGAGGTTATTTGAGTCATAAACCTTAATCTGATCAAGCCAACAAAACATGATGTGGATATTACCCAGGGTAATGTGGTGTAATTAAATCTTTTCAGAACAGGCAACCACTGTCACACAAATCTAAATTTTGGTTGCTTCTCAATGAATCTATTGTTTAACAAAAGCAAAAATGTAAGGCCTCAGCTGGTGCTTTCTCAAACAATAGTTACTGATTAATGGTACAGTCAAAGGAAGGCGAGACCCTCCATTTTAATGGACCAAATTCCGACTTCATGTAAGCTAAGAAACCAATAACTAGGAAGAGAAATGTGAGAAACCAGTTGCTCAGAAGGGAGCTATAGTGCCTGACTCCCAAAAATCCAAAGAGTCAACGGAATGTAGGACTATCTTGGTTTTGTGTTTGATTAACTATGGGAGTTCATTCAGACGAGGGTTAAGAAATAAAGAATTTAGTCAATGCATTTTTGCACCTGCCCCATGCATGGCCTCTGCACTACTCTGATTAGTCTGACTTTGGGCAAGTAATTTGCATTTATATAAGGATTCATTAGCACCTGCTTTGGATGAAAGGAGTAAAGGCAGTAAGATTTTGGTTGAGCAAGTTCTGTTTTACTTTTAGTAGCTGCCTATAATAAAATTACTTATTTGAACATTTTTCATCTCTAGAACTGCTGCCATTCTTCACTTGTAGTTATTCCATCTATTCCCTCACCATGGGGCTCTGCAATACTGGGCCAAGTTCTGCACTGACAGACTCAGTACGACCATCCTGAATTAAAAAATAAATAAAAATTGGACTACATAAAGTGAAGTCAATACTGAAAGTGGCCTATTAATTTATCCTTTAATCTGGGAGTACAGAATTCTTTTCTTGGTGTCAATAGCATTAAATTCACAATTTCATTCCTCAAATTTATTTTGTATCACATTTGTTAATGACATTCATCCTCTGCAGTTTATTAACACAGAAGGAACACTGGAGAAGGGAGGCCATTTTGTGTTTGAAAGGATTGTGTGCCAAGACTAAAGACAGAGGATAGGAGTCCACATGCATTTGCATGAAACTGAAAAGAGTAGAGAAAAAAATATGAAACAGAATTTTAGAAATAATTTTAAAATACTAGATTCAGAAATAGGAGAGAAAAGTAGGTAGCTGGTGGTGGTAGGAATGCTGTGAAGATCACACAATTACTTGTGAAATACACTTTAGCTTGTTTCAAACATTTGTATGTTTCTAAATAGTTTTAAGCAACTCTTTGCATTATTACTTTTAGAGATCTCCAATAGAGCAGATAAACAACTTGTACAGTGTTGCTTGGAAAACCAACCATTCATCTAGGAGAATAAGTCACTGTAATAACTTGAGAACAGTAGTAGGACAAATATATAAGGATGTAATGGAGAAATATCAAACCTTAATACAGACCTACCTTCCCTACATATTGATAATCAGAGCCTGTATATTCCTCCAGCAAGAAGAACTGGTTCCACATCCAGCCCCGTTTCTGGCGGTGAAGTGCTTTTCCATCACTCCCTGATACACGTGCCACAAAGCCTTTCTGTTGGTGGTCAGTTGTCCTTCTGAACAGCATTTCTGCATAGCAGGAATGTGGCAGACACATCCAGAGCAGCAGTAGCAGTAAGACTTGTTGTATTATCATAGTTCTCCACTGCTGTCTGTCCTCCAAGCCAGATGGCTGTGGGGTCAATAGTGTTGTTTTCCTGGATTACCTTTTGATGTCTTTTTAGTTGGCAGTGCAGCCAGGTGATTTCCAGTAGTTCATCTCCCTTCCACACATATTCCACCAAATCCTCAAAGTAAACATAAAAGACACAGTGTAAGTTGAAAACATTCCATTTGCCTGTGACTGACTTCATATCGTACTTGACAGTACAGCTGTAAAGCCTTACAGCAAAGAAAGCAACTGGTTATTTCCCACGTGCACCTAACTGATGGCTGATGCAGTGACTATAAAGGTTTTCTGTCAACCTTCACCAAGTGGAAGGGTTGCAAATGTAGTAGGTAGCTGCTTTCAAAACATTACATGAGAAACACAACAAAAGTGCATTGAGCTGATTAACTTTTTTTCTTAACTTTTCAGTTTAAGAACTTTGAGGATTTTTTTTTCATGTAGACTAGGGGATTTAATACTAATAGCACTTACATATTAAATACTGCAGCCTTTACTTCAAATGTTTTCCACCTGATTTGATTTACAAGTAATCCAGGGTTTTATTAATCTTGTTATCCAGAGGCCTGAAAAGACTAATGCAAAGCAATTTTAGAAACCACAGAAATGGTGAAACACTAGTTCCCCAAGGCACTTTAAATGGCAAAAGGGAACATCATATGCATCAGAAGAAATGCAACATGACAAGAAGCAAACTTTTTAATATAAAAAGTTCTTAGGATGTAGTACTTACAGTATGAACTGAGGTAGCATGCAAACAACTTTAAATGCAGGGGGGAAATGTTGAAATAACTAAGGCCTGATCTGATTTGATGTTAAGTTATAGTGAACTCAGGATTTTTTGGCTTACAATATATTTAAATTTGACACTTAATACGCAACTATTACTACAGAGAGAAAAAAAAGTAAATCCATTTCCAAACTTGGTTTTTTTAGGTTTGTGTAGCATTTTATGTTTTTTTCCTGACACAATAAGGAAGCATTTAGCACCACGGTGAAACAATAGGCAGATTCCATCAATATCTTATGTTGACATCAAACAGAAATAAACTTGTTTCCAATCTTGTGCCTATGTTCCTTCTCAGCATATCACTCTTCACGACTGTTGACACCATTAGCTGATTTCCACTTTAAAAGATTTCAATTTGGAAATTACCAAGCGCTTAAGAGCAAATGTCTGCATGGCTCATTTAGATTTGTTTCAGCAGGAAAATCATGTAAAATACAGTTAAAAAAAAAGAATATTAACACTTAAATGTTTTTGTTAGAATCACATTTCATCTTTAATTTCATTCCAAAGCACCACTGTAACTTGACCAAAGCTATTTTGAAATATATTAGGTATAAATGAAAGATATATAATTATGTATCATAATGGTACATTATGGACTTTAAGTATATACAATTATTATTACAGATTATTCTAATATGCATAAATATAGCAGACAAAAATTAGTAGCTATAAATAAGATAACTCTCTTTGTATGCAAATAAATATATAAAACAGTGGGGAACTAATGTTTCATCATTTCTGTGGTTTCTAAAACTGCTTTGCATTAGCCTTTCAGACCACTGGCTAACAAGATTAAAACATTGGATTACTTGTAAACCCACTTTGTGCACCCTATTCTTTCAGTTCCTCTTTGCCAAGCCTCCATTACCACCTTCTTCAACTCCAACCTAAAAATATTCATTTTAGCTGTAACTCCCATAAGTACCTTAAGTACCATGCCCAACAGAACTCAGATATACACATGACTAAAATGAGTAACTACATACAATTATTACTGTAACACTTGCCTTCCCTTCTCATTCTCCACATTTATGTTTCCCACCCTCACTTATTGTGTCATGTCTAATTTTTAGCACCCAAATTTGGCAGAAGTCTGAACAGAAGTCACTTGGATTGTGTATGAACACAAAGGACGTGACTTTACCATTAAATCAGTGGGAACAAGATTGGGCTGTTTGATTGACATTCCTCAACAATCTTTTCTTTTACTTATTCGGTAAAGGGGCTAGCACATTTATGAACACTAATAGTGCACTTCTGGGGAATAATAATAATAATCTTTCCACAGTATTTTGTCTTAAATGAAATAAGAACAGCTTTGCATAGGCTACATAATGCAGTCTGCACCCAGAACAGAAGTGTAGAACTTGTTAATTCCTTACTGGTTAATTTGTGAGAGAGAAATGTTGGCATCATATTTCAGCAAATTTTTTTTTTTTTTTTTTTTTTTGCAGACCCCACTGACCCCTGCTAAGGGGGAAATGGTGTCTGTTGCTAGGCAGCAAGAGTATATGAATGTTCCTATGGCTTTTTCTTCTCAATAGGATATATTTTCTCTACATTTTCTTATTGATTTTTTTTCTCTTAAATCTGCAAAGGGAGTATATAGAGCCAATACTTGCAGCTCCTCAGTATATACATATACAGTATTCTTCCATATGCAACAAAAAACCCTGAAATGATACAGAAACTTGGTGGGTTTTCCTTTACTTCCCTGATTTGGACACAACATTGTTTAGCATACCTTAGAACAATGCTTTCGGCTACATTGATCACAGACAGAAATCTATTGACTTCAGTGGCTTTACACCATGGATGAATACAGCCCTAAGCATTTCAGATTCTTCCAAGTAAAGCTGTGTAAAATTTTCATAATCTTTTCCTTGGCTTGGGGTTTTGTTACTGACCAGGTTACTTCAAATTGACCAATCCAAGAAGTTTCTAGTGAGGCTAGGCTGGTTCATGGTTTGGGGTGGAAAGCATGTGAAACTTGGCAATTTCACGTGGTTTCGAAACATAAGACCAGATGGAATTCAGAAGCTAACTTTTGCTTTGAGAGTTTGGGTTTACTCAGAGCTGAGGGACTGGCAAACATCACAAAGTATTTGTGCTGTGAAGAAGGACTTGAAGGGTGTCATCCACAAACATGTTCATGGTAATTTGCAGGAATGTAAAAGTGTTTGTCATCATAAATGTCAAACAATGCACCTCATTGCTTGCCCTCGTGCTCTGCTCTGGGTTCTAAAAAAAAGTCACTGTACTAATCGTTTTCTTCAGTTTGCAAAAGTCTGATGATGAGTCTCTTACCGTAGTGAGTTTCAAATATTTTATTGTTTTACATAATATTTATTTTTAAAGTCATTCATAAAATATGAGCATCTCCCAGCACAATGTATTACTGTGAGACATTGCTTTACTGTGAGACATTGCTTTTCTGGTATGTGTCTGCTTCTACCAGGATGCACAAATTAAAGTTTGCTTTTGACTTTAATGAAAGCAAGATCAGGACCCAGGATTATTCCATTGTAATGATATATTGCCAGACCAACACATCTTTACTTTGTATGAGAAAGGAGTATTTATGTGAGCAAAGGTTGGAAGGATCAGGCTCAATCATAAGTGTATTACATGGGGTAGGTACCTTGTGTTTACTTGTTGCTGAATAGCACTACCACAATTCTGTGTTGCCCATATACCCATACCTATATTTTTTCTTGAGAGAGAGAGAGACTAAATCTTGCTCTTAGCTGATGTTTCTTGAAGTCAGAGGGAGTTGCATATGTACATCTAAGCAATGAACTTGGCCCTTAAACCTGTTACTATTTTCCCCAAACATGGAAAGTTATTGGATTACTTGTGTAAAGGAGATACAGTATCTTCTTTCTCTTGCTTTTTCCCCCCATAGGTATGTATATTCCACTGTTCACACATCACTATTTGATGTAGAAGTGTTGTTAAATTCCTCCTGGGAAATAATGCTTCAGTGTTAGGGATTGTTATTGAATTTCCTTCTTGTTAAATTAGGTCAGTGGAATGAAAGCTCTGATGGAATTTGTTAAAGTTACAAAACTAGCTAATGTACATGAACTTGGCAGGCTAGGCTGCTTAATGGATGTATATAGTAGGGTTCTCCCCCTTAGACTTCTATTTGAGTTCATCCTGCTGTTTTAAGTGTAATATTAAGTTTGATGGTCACCTACTTGAATGAAATAAAATGTACCTTAAAAAACAACAACAAAACCCTTCTGCCTAATATACTGCAACTAGTAGTGGCAATGTCACTAAATAAAGGGCACTGGGGGGAAATGGTATTTTTGGTTTAGAGTTGGATGAGAAGATACAAATGACACTGAGGCATCCCCAGCTCGGTACTAAATACTGCAAGTCAGCTGAGATTCTTCATTACCTTATTAGAACTGATCTAATCACTGGAAAAACCTGAAACTGTTACCAGCTTCTAACTGTTTTCACTTTATTAGTGCCACTGGAAATTTCTGGGAAACATACCCAAATTCTGATGGAATAGTGTCTCCAAAAAGTTATGTGCAATTCAGCAGAATTTCAAAAGTTAAAAAAAACACACACACACAAAAACATTAATTCAGAATGCATATGGAAATACTGATGATTTCACCCAACTTTTCCCCTAAGATCTCTCCCTTCTTCCAGCATCCTATGGCCAGGACCATGCCCTTAAAACACTATTGAATATTTGTTACAACATACATTCCGCTATTTACAATTTTAAAACCTGAAAGCTTATTCCTGTAAAACATTATTTCAAATTAAACCAAACCCACTAAGGGTATGTCTACACTACGAGGGTAATTCGATTTTACTTAAATCGAATATGTGGAATCGATATTGCAAAGTCGAACGTGTGTGTCCACACTAAGGACACACTAAGGACAGTAATTCGACTTTGTGAGTCCACACTAACGGGGCGAGCGTCGATATTGGAAGCGGTGCACTGTGGGCAGCTATCCCACAGTTCCCGCAGTCCCCGCTGCCCATCGGAATTCTGGGTCGAGCCGCCAATGCCTTCTGGGTAAAAAAAATTTGTCGTCATCCGTCCGTCACTAACGCCCTCCCTCCCTCCATGAAAGCGCCGGCGGGAAATCAGTTCGCGCACTTTTCTGGTCAGTGACAGCGCGGACGCCACAGCACTGCGATCATGGATCACGCTGCGACCATCGCTGCACTTGTGGCCGTTCTCAACACCTCGCAGCTTATCATACACCTTTCCCTGAGGCAGATGCAGAGAA